ATCACAGGGGACACTGTTGCATGTCCCATTTTACTTTTATGCCTGAGGATGCTAAGCAGGCACAATCCTGGAAAGGAGCCCCTCAGCCGCCTCCTGTGAGGTTCCAAGGGTTGTATCCAGTGCTAGTTCTATTCAGAATTGACTCATTAAAATTAATGGACCTACATTAGTTATGTCCATTAATTTAAGTGAGTCTACTCCGAGTAGAATTAGCACCAGAGACAACCCCCAATTCAAACTCCAGCTTCTGTGGTGTAGTGGTTCGCGTCTCCGTTCTTCCACATGCAGCTGCTGGGTGACCTTGGGCTAGTCACACTTCTCTGAAGTCTCTCAGCCCCACTCACCTCACAGAGTGTTTGTTGTGGGGGAGGAAGGGAAAGGAGAATGTTAGCCGCTTTGAGACTCCTGAAGGGGAGTGAAAGGCGGGATATCAAATCCAAACTCTTTTTCTTCTTCTTCTTCTTCTTCTAAACCAGGGCCCTTCCTTCATTGCTTCTTTTCTCACGCATGGGTGCCTGAAGATTTGCCGGGCTAGGCATTTCAGAGCCGAAACACTTTTAACATATTGAATCAGTTTAGCAACTGGCCTTCTTCCAGTGTTGCAGCTTCAGTATGAAACACCAATAAAAATTCCTAACATTCAAGTCCACTGAGGACTGAAGAGTGAGTAAAAAACACACCAAAAAACTGGGGTGGGGGGGCGGGAGTCTCTGCATTGGAAAGGCAACTTCCAACTTGCATCATACTTGGCTCTTGCACCAACAGCAGGATGCGTCGTAGGTGGAGCTGCAGCTCCTTTGTCCTTCAGGAAGCTTCAGCAATGCTTCACGTTTTTCTTGGCACGTTGGCCCAAAAAGTAGATGTTTCAACACAGCTCACCATAAAACTTTTATTGGGGTGGGAAAATGGCCTTGTGGCATTGGATGGAAATCTGCAATGACCCTAAGGGGGAAAATACAGCTTTAATGGGACAAAGAAGAAGGGCTTATGTAACTGTTTGTGAGTTTTCATTGGGAAGAATGTTCTTCTGCATCGTAATCACTGGGAAGGCTCCCATCAATTTTTAACAGGAGTTCTGGTCAAAGCCTCAGGGCAGTAGCTAGACTTGTGTGTGCGCTGCGCTAACCAGTTCCAAATTCTGCACAAAGAAACTCTAAGTTATTTGACTGGGTTAACTGACATAAGTTAAGCAAATACTGTGCATGTTGTTTATTTGCATAGTGTATCCATATAGTTGCTTAGGGGGGATGTAGTTCTCCATAGGGAGGATGAGGCAGGTAGAGCACTAAAGCCCAGCTTCTGAACCACAAGAGTCCTATTCAGACATTATCGCTTGCATGTACAGCAACAAGAGCAGAGTTCAGATCCATTCCGACTAGCACAACCCAGTGGCATTCATCCATACAGCATGGATGTCTGCAAGGGGGGATTTTTGCGTACAGCAGTACATGCAAAGGCTTCCACACAACATGGAACTGCAACTGTGCAGAGTTCCAGGTTGCATGGAAGCCTTCACACATACAGATTTGTGTGCAAAGGCCCTCTCCCTGGAAGCATACATACAAACAGATCATTTTATTTGTATGCACCTTTCCATATTTAAACCATGCTCAAGGTGGCTTACAACATGAAATTGTGTTTACATAATTACAAACATAACAAAAGTAGTCATAATAAATAAAACATCAAAATGTACACAGGTGAATTATACAATTTCCACATATATCATGCTATGGCCTTTTAAATGTGTTCGTGGGAGGGGGTGGTGGTTGTAGGTTTGTTTTAGTTTTATTGTGTATTTTACGTTTTCATTTAGTTATGTTATGAACCGCCCTGTAACCTTTGCATGAGAGTGGTATACAAATCAATCATCATCATCATCATCTAAGAGAAAGATACAAAATATCAGTAACAGCAACAACCCCCCTCTCCCGCTGGAATCAATCAGAGCCGCACCCTCCCAGGCCAGGTAGGAAAAGGCCTGTAAGGTAGTGAGCAAGTCTTCCTGGACTCACAGCCAAGATGGCCTTTGGCCATTCTCACAGGTGCTGGGGGCAGGGTAGTTGGCACATGTGATAATGGGCATGGATACTCAGGAAGGTCTCTTCCTTGCTCCTATGTTGCACTCCACAGAAGGTATAAGTCCTGGATAAACTTATAAGTCCAGCTTGGTCCCCGTTTTGTACTTTCACCAGAGCATGGCATGTACATTTTCCAGCTTTGCTGCACTGCTGTAAGAGCTAGAAAAATGGTCCCGTCCCCCAGAAAAACCATGCATGATTTAGTTAAAACTATATACAGTGGTACCTCGGGTTACATACACTTCAGGTTACAGACTCCGCTAACCCAGAAATGGTACTTCGGGTTAAGAACTTTGCTTCAGGGTGAGAACAGAAATTGTGCTCCGGCGGCAGCGGGAGGCCCCATTAGCTAAAGTGGTGCTTCAGGTTAAGAACAGTTTCAGGTTAAGAATGGACCTCCGGAATGAATTAAGTACTTAACCCAAGGTACCACTGTAATGAAGTTGTGCCTGTGTTTGACCTGTGAGGTAGCTTCTTTGCACAGACAAGTTGTACTTTATGCATGCATGAGCCAGCCTGTATGTGATATAGGACACACTTTCCTTTAATTTCAAGGGTGAATGGGTTGAATGTAAAAAAATTACTTAAACTAAGAATGTTAATCTGATTTGATCCAATAGTCTCAACCTTGACATCTGCCCATTGTTTCTAGCCTTTCTAGCAGCTGCATATGGCTGACTTCCTACCATTTTCACTACTCCTGCTTAGATTAACTATGAAGAGGTTTGTGCAAGAAGAAGAATGTGTGACAAGAGAAAGCAGGGACTCATTGCAATATTCCTGTTTAACAGACCCTTAAAAATAAAAATTCCCTCTATTCTGTTTTAGGAAATTCCCTATGGGAATATCTAAGACTAGTTTTTCCAAAGGGGGAGAAGGATGAGTATATTTCATACCAAAAGCTTCAGACCTGTGATCTCTGGAAAGATTTTCAAATGTGCTATTTCTGGAATTACTTCAGTGAATGGGAAATTTGCTCTGTTATTTATTCGTATTTGTCCATTAGTTTATTTTAAAGCAGCAAGTGCTAGCTACCAGCACTGATTAACAGTCATTTTTAATTGCATGCATAGCCGTGAGAATATATATGCTGATTGAATGGAGGCATCCCAACTCAAAGCACAAAGGCAATTACTGACAAACCGCCCCCCTTCGCTTTAGCCTTTTAGGCATGAACAGATGTGAGGAAAAGACAGAGACCTTTGTAAAGTGGCTCAGAGGAGCCGCTTTCCCAGAATTCCCTTTAAAATGCAGCTCATTGGAGGCAAGGATTACATGACCTCAATTGCATTGTTAGGTGAGGTTTGTGGGCCCTTTGCTGCATTGAAAAGAACAGTTATTCCTAAACACACAACACCTATCAAGTCACAGACCATCAGCCATTAAGAAGCAGTTTTGTTTTATAAAATAATAATAATAATAATAATAATAATAATAATAATAATAATAATTAATAATAATAATTTATTTGTACCTCCCCAGCCACTCTGGGCGGCTTCCAACAAAGATTAAAGATACATTAAAATGTCACACATTAAAAACTTCCCTAAACAGGGCTGCCTTCAGATGTCTTCTAAATGTCAGGTAGTTGTTTATCTCTTTGACATCTGATGGGAGGGCGTTCCACAGGGCGGGCGCCACTACCGAGAAGGCCTTCTGCCTGGTTCCCTGTAGCTTTGCTTCTTGCAGCAAGGGAACCGCCAGAAGGCCCGCAGCGCTGGACCTCACCTCAGTGTCTGGGCAGAACGATCTGGGTGCAGACGTTCCTTCAGGTATACTGGGCCCAGGCCGTTTAGGGCTTTAAAGATCAGCACCAACACTTTGAATTGTGCTCGGAAACATACTGGGAGCCAATGTAAATCTTTTACATGCCTTTCCTTGTAACTTGGTTATTGGCTGTTATCAGATTACTCCAGACCTACCAAGTCAGATGCAGCCCACTAACCTAACAATTGCATTAATGCCATTCCATAATTGGGCATAATTGTGGCCACAAAAACCCAGGAGCAGTGGGAAGACCAAAGAGACTTGGGCTCAAATCACTTCTCAACTATGAGGTCATTGGATGGTCTTAGGCCAGCCATTATCTCTCAGCCTGATCCTATTCACAGCCCATTTGTTGTGAGGTTACATGGGGACAATCCCATTTACACTGTGTTGAACTCCTTGGAAGAAGGGATGGGTTGTTTCCCTGCCTGGTTTTCTTGTTGCTGTACAAGTTTTCATTTTCCATCTAGGTAAATGTGCTCAATGTGATCTCACTTTCAAGTTTTTGAAGGTGGTTTTACAGCTAATTACTGCATTTAAATCTGGTGCTCCTTTAAGTACAGAGCCTTGCATTGTGTCCAGGTCTTTACACAAAGGCGCCATTTGAGGCCATTGGCTTCTGTGTTCACTCTTCCATTGTACCTTGTGATTGCCAGGTATTAGCCTTGTACCCTGTGTAGAGTTACTTACCTGGCTGAAACTGAAATATTTCTTTCCATTAAGCTAGCAATGACAGACAGAAATCCTCAGTTCTGCATCCTGGATCACTGATCCAAGTGACATTGCTGTGTGTAAGGAGCCCTGAAACAGCTAGATTCTCATCTCTGATAATGTAGTGCGGAAGGTGCCTATCTTGGCAGAATTGGGACCAGAGTCAAGGTGGAATGTTGTGGCAGTTCCACAAGAATGGGAAATCCATGAAGACATTGTTGCCAACTGAGTGGTACCAGCATGCAAGCCAGTCTGTGGGACTCTAGTGTAGCCACAGCTTGGATTATCTGGCTGAAAAACTCTTTTCCAGTACTACAAATCTGCCATCTCTTAGAAATAAACAATATATTGTTACTTTTTGAAACTGAAATTGAGAAACTGCAAATGCAAGTGTCCCCATTCACAGTATTGGTTTACTTATTTCCTTTTCTTCTCTGACAGCATGGGGATGAGCCATGATGATGACCACTTGTCCTGTGCTGGAAGATCTCACATCATGTCCGGAGAATGGGTGAAGGGAAGGAATCCCAGTGACCTATCCTGGTCTTCCTGCAGTCGTGATGACCTTGAAAAGTTTCTCAAGTAAGAATGCTGTTGTCAGCAAAGCCTTTGAATCACAAGACACCAGTCTCTTGTCTTCTCTGCAGAAATGATGAACAATTTTCAATGGTGGGTGCCAGAAGGTGGAAGCTGTCTCCTTTGAATCCTGGGGTTGCAGACATTACTGGCAGGAGATCAGAAACGTTATGATACCCATATTTTAGCACCTTGACAGCTTCTTGACAAGAATCCCAGTTTTGCTGTCCTTTTCCAATCAAACCTTGCCAGTGTTTTGTGACAACTGAAATATGTTGGTTTGAATGAAGAAACCAGTTCTATGCTTTTGCAATGTTGCCATGAAAGAAATAGAGAAACATAACATTCTTGAGTGATTCTTCTTCTTTGGGCCAAACCTGGCATAAGATATACCATGGGTCTTAGTTCTCCCATCCTCTCCATAACATCTAGCAGAACAAATTATGCATTTTCCCAGTTTTCACTGCTGGCAGTCAAGGGTCTGGAGTAGAGGTAGGAAAATATAGAATGTTGTGATTTCATAAGATAAGTTTTCTACTAGATATTATGGAGAAGGAGAGCAGAGCTAGACACGTGATTGTCATTTTTTGTGGTAGTCACATTTTTACCATTGTGCCTAGTTTGTTTGTTAGAATTTCTGCCAAATTCTTCCCAATGCTGAATTTGGGGAAAGTCTGAACTGGAACCAAAGTTTACCCAAAACCCTTCATAAGATTATAACCATTTCCCCCCTTTTAGCAGCTCCATTATAATCCCTTTCTGAGACCATAATCCATCAGAACATTAATTTCACGGTTAACTCTCTGGACTGTAGCCAACACATTTTGTCATGGGAATCTGATATTTGATATTTTCGTTTTTATTGTGATATTGATGCTGTTAATTCTGTTCTGTAGATTTTCAATATAAGCCTCCTTAGGCACTCATTATGGACCAGAACGGTGTTGTATACCTTTTTTTTTTACAAATCAAATACATAGCACAGTTTCATACCAAGCTGTCACTTAAAAAGGAGTTAGTAAGTATACATAGTAGTACACTGTTGGGAGGCATGTTTTGAAGGAGTTGCTAAATTGAAAGTCCATTATATTGTGAAAATACAGTCATTTGATGAAATAGAGCAATGCTTTCACAATGCCCTTCAAAATATGTTTTATCTCTTCAGGTCAAAAGTTAGCACCTGTTTACTGGTAACAGACCCACGGAGCCGTTATGTCGTGCGACTTCCTTACAAACTTCCAGGAATGCACTATAGCGCAGATGAGCAATGCCAGATTCTCTTTGGAACCAATGCAACTTTCTGCAAAAATATGGAGGTAAGATAACCCATTTGGGACATAAACAAGCTGGGGACCGAACCATAAGGCCCCAAGCAGGGTTTTTTAAAAAAGTATGCCCACAGTTTCATTTATAAGGGCAAATTGTTTTGAGATGGAAGTAATAAAGAAATTTATTTTGTACATAGCATGTAATTCTGCGCCTGAGAACATGAACTCAACTGCAAAGTCAATGGCAGCTCTGTTATGGAGTTTCATCGCTCCGAAGGAGGCCAGTTTGGGTGGCAAAATTTATTCTGGCCCCCAGACTGCTGTGTGGTTTACAGAGTGGCCCTTGAGAATAGAGACTTTGGCCATTTCTCCTCTAGAGGTCGCACTTAGAATAGAGAGAGTAGTTCGTAATTCTGCTCTTTATTTAGGGAGGTAATTGTTTCAGTAAATGCCCCCCTTCCCCTTAGTAAAAAATCCAGGAACTTGAAATGTGATATAAAACAGAAAATAAGAGCCATTTATATTTTTTAATGTTACATAAATGAGACGTGCCAAATTAATAAAACTTTTCACTGTGTGCTGTAGCAGAGGGAATGAACTTCAAGCCTTAACTGTTCCATTTTATTTATTCTGGATCGGGAAGGCAGCTAATGCAACATGAAAACAATGAGCACAAAAAATATTTTAAAAATCTTCCTAAGTAGTGTTTTTCGGGGAATGTGGACCACCAAGCTCGCTGTTATTGAGAGACGTTCTGAATGTGTATATCTTTAAAGACCATCCCAGGAAGTGTCTGTTAAAAGAAAGGACATTCTCAATTATTTTCCCTTTGAGAAGCTGGTTGGCTTTCCTTGGCTTGAGGCCTTTATATATACATATGCATTTTGCTGCTTGGCCTACTGCAGTAGTTTTCAACCTTCAGGAAATCCTTTCTGTGCTGCCTTCTCTTGAGGAACCCCTGCACGTCAGCTGTGGAACCCTTGAGAGTTACACAGGATTCTCTATAGGGCAGGACCTTATAGCTAGCACAGTGAGTTAACTTGAGGCATTGGCCAACAGTGGCGTAGTGTGGGGGACAGTGGGGGCATGAACTCAGATAATGCTTGCTGCTTGCCTGAATGGAGGATAGAGAGGGGTGTGTGTGAGTGAATGTGTACAGAAACTATACTGTACAAAGGTAAAACCCACATCTGTGGTTATTCCCACTTTCCCCTCTATCTCTGCCCACCAATGGCATGTGGCCCCTGAAATGTGGCACAGAATGGAATATGGCCCTCAGGCTGAAAAAAGTTCCCCATCCCTGAACTGAAGCCAAGGGCAAAATAGTATGTTGGGAACGCCCTCCCAGCAGATGTCAAGGCAATAAACAACTATTTTACTTTTAAAAGACAACTGAAGGCAGCCCTCTTTAGGGAAGTTTTTAATGTCTAATGCTGTATTGGTTTTAATATTCAGTTGGAAGCCGCCCAGAGTGGCTGGGGAAACCCAGCCAGATGGGCGGGGTATGAATAATAAATTATTATTATTATTATTATTATTATTATTATTATTATTATTATTATTATTATTATTTTATTGGGAGAGGTGGTGTACAGCCAAATGCAAAATGGTGGTTAAGGTGGGGAGTCACTATTTTTACCTGCTGTATCCTGAGCCATGCTGTGGCCTAATATGTACAAGTATAAATCTATATCTGAAGTACTAAAGATCAAGAATAAGAGAGGGCTCTGAGAGGTAAATTATGTTGAAATCTGACTTCTTTCAAAGTAGATGTGTTAATGGCTAGGGCTCTATCATCCAGAATATCTACAAGAAATAAGCAGAGTAGAGGAAGAGGGCTAAAATGAGAAGTTGGTCTAAGTTGCAGAAAAGATTGGCAAGCTGCTTTGGCCCAATATTTATCCAATAAGACAATATGTGAAAAACAGAATATAAATATAAACATTTGTTACAAAATGGAAACAAGCTTCAGTAAATCAGCCCTACTCAATTTTGTTGAAATTTGGTATTAAAAAAAAGAGTTACGAAGATAACATTCAGTAAAACAACAACAACAACGCATAGTTCTCTCCTTGTCCCTTACCTGGAAAGCACAGGTCCAAGACCTTGACCTTGGAGAGTCAGAGTAAAGAACAGTGTGACTCGGAGACCCACACATTTCCACATGCATAACTAGTTCACCAGGGACGCGGGTGGCGCTGTGGGTAAAAGCCTCAGCGCCTAGGGCTTGCCGATCGAAAGGTCGGCGGTTCGAATCCCCGCGGCGGGGTGCGCTCCCGTTGCTCAGTCCCAGCGCCACCCGCGTCCCTGGTGCAAGTAGATAAATAGGGACCGCTTACCAGCAGTAAGGTAAATGGCATTCCGTGTGCTGCGCTGGCTTGCCAGATGCAGCTTTGTCATGCTGGCCACGTGACCCGGAAGTGTCTCCGGACAGCGCTGGCCCCCGGCCTCTTGAGTGAGATGGGCGCACAACCCCAGAGTCTGTCAAGACTGGCCCGTACGGGCAGGGGTACCTTTACCTTTACCTTTAACTAGTTCACCAACATAGGGATGAGCCAAATTTCATTGGAAATGAATGTTCTGACAATTTTTTTAACTGTTAGAGAATTTCAGTCCCCCCTGGAGATTATTCAGTAGAATGGCCTCCCCAATTCACCTTCTGCAAATTTGAGGCACAATTGTCCATCCAGTTTTAATATTGTGTAATATTATTTTACTATTGTTCAAGGAAATGAGGGTTATGGCCCCTACACTTTCTAATCCTCTCTTAATCCATGGCTTCCTCTCCAAGAATCCTGAGAACTGGAGTTTGTTAAAGGAGCAGAAACCCTTGTTACGAGACCCTTAACAAACTCCAGTTCCAAGGATTATCTGGGTAGAAGCCATGTCTTTTAAAGTGGAACAAAAGTGCTTTTTATGTATGTGTGGATGTGGTCTTAATGTTGAATGGAACTTTATTGTTAGTTCATGTTATAGGGTAAAAGAGGAAACCAATACTACTGAATGGAATAAAGTCATCCTGTGTGGGATTTACAAAAACCAAACTTTTAAAAATGGGTATCGTTGCGGGTAGGGTGGGGGAAACATAAGCTGGATTTCTGTCTTCTGTCACACTAAGGCAATTGTTTGAAAGGAAAATTGCAGCTCATAGAACTTACATTTCCCCCAAATTATTTGCCTCTGTACTATATCCAGTGTAAATCAGGTGACTGGAGCAGAATGTTTTATATCTCTTTTTAAAGAATTTGCTACCTTTCACTTGCCCTCATATTCATATTTCAGTATAATGGCAAAAAGATGAACCCCTTGATCCCAGCACCAGCTGTTTCCCCCAAGATTTATAGCCTTGTTAAATAGCTAGATGCAATGCACTTTGACCTTGACATTCTTCAGAAGTTTAACTTAAGTGGGTGGGGGGCATGATTATTGGGATGTGAATACTGTAAATGCTCTCTAAATGGAATACAAAAAACTCTGCTTTTCAAACTGGATCTCTAGCAAACCCTGGGATTCCTAGATATTTTATCAGGAACTCCTCAATGAGGAAACCAGCAGTACTATCCTTTTAAAGCTGTATTTAAATTGTACTTTGAATTGTCGTGGCTAGGGATTTAATTCCAGCTGTCAGCTTTCTTGGTTGTTTTTGTGTGTGTGTGTGTTATTTATTGAGCCCATTCCACTTCATGGCACTTCCTTTTTCACCATTTTGAAGCTCTCTTGTTGCAAACTGCCCTGAGATCTGTGGATGAAGGATGGTATACAAATATATACAATGGAGGAGTGTGTGTGTGTGTGTGTGTGTGTGTGTGTGTAAAATATATGTCTGTTTCAAAAAAAAAGAATTCTGCCTATGTAACCAATAACAAAGTGGTGTAGAACTGAGTTATGATCCTTTTTTATTTTAAATTTAAATTTCATATTGGAGTGCTTTGTGCCCTCCCGCACTTCTGAGATCCCTGCTTTCTGACCCTGAAGGCCTCTGCCTTCTCCTTCCTTCTGCTTCTGATGCTTCTCTCACCTTCCCTGAACGATCTATGTGCCCTAGCCTTCTTGTAGGGTCTGAGCAGTTCAGCTAGTGACACTTCTGCCTTCTGTCTCTTCTGTAACATTAAGGCAGCTCCATCAGTCATTGCCCACCAATATTACACATCACTTGGTATACCACAATACAGATCTTAACTAATTCAAAGGAAGCGTAACTGTAGTTTTGTATTGCCACACCAGCCCCTGTGGAAGTTAATTCAAAGCTGCTTGTGCTTCAGTTTCTCAAGCCCTTTTCTTATTTATAGCCATCACTTTAAAAATTATTTTTATTTGGATATTCTTAGATTCCCACATTGTATTTTACAATTCTATTTAAAGTTTGTTCTCCCTACTTTTTCCCCATTAAGCCAGAGTGCCTTTTGACAATCAGCCAAACTGAAACCCATGCAAACATTTTTGAGACATTCCAGTAAGTGTAAAATGGGTTGTAATACATAATAATAATAATAATAATAATAATAATAATAATAATATTTTCTAGTAAGAGGAAAGTCTTGCAATATACAGAAGCAGTGAAACCAAACACTTAAGCTTCATATAAAACAGCAAAGTGAAAACAGTCACACTTTTTAAATAACCCAACTTACGAAAACCATAAAACCCAAGGACAGCAATTAGACATGTTATTAACTTCACATGAGGTGGGGTTTTTTGTATGTTTTTTGGTCTCTGAGCATTAACAAAAGTAGAACTTCTTTGCTGGTTCATTGCCATAGTGTCTCATACTGAATGTAAATGGACTGTGAAAAAAGACTCTATGAATTGAAACTGGAGACACTATATGTACTTTTCCTTGTATATGTGTGTGTTTTGTATCACAAAAAAATCTTTAAGAATAATTAAACACACACATACATACACAAGACCCCAGTTGTGTTGGTGCTTTGAGGTCATTCCAAATTGTCCTGGTAAGGTTCTCTGAGGATCTTTTTAAGGCACATTTGCAATTCAACAAATTGTGTGATACAGTTCTCCAGCCAAACAATGTCTAAAGGTAAAGGTACCCCTGACCATTAGGTCCAGTCGCAGACGACTCTGGGGTTGTGCGCTCATCTTACTTTACAGGCCAAGGGAGCCGGCGTTTGTCCGCAGACAGTTTTTCTGGGTCATGTGGCCAGCATGACTAAGCCGCTTCTGGCGAACCAGAGCAGTGCATGGAAACGCTGTTTACCTTCCCACCGGAGCGGTACCTATTTATCTACTTACACTTGACGTGCTTTCGAACTGCTAGGTGGGCAGGAGCTGGGAGAAAACAACGGGAGCTCACCCCACCACAGGGATTCGAACTGCTGACCTTCCGATAGGCAAGCCCTAGGCTCTGTGGTTTAGACCACAGCGCCACTCGCGTCCCAAACAATGTCTACAAAGATGCATATATTAGAGGGAAATGTGCATAGACATGCACACATTATTGAAAATAGCATACTTACCAATATGTGTATCTTAATCAAAGCTGTATACAAAAAAGGAAGGTAAAGGTAAAGGACCCCTGGACGGGTAAGTCCAGTCAAAGGTGACTATGGGGTTGTGGCACTCATCTCGCAATAAAGGCAAAGATGGAGGGAAACTGGCGCAGATTATGAGCAGAGAAGAGAGGTGTTGCAGAGATCGGGAAGTCTCAAGCTTCCATATTAATCTAAAATAAGCAGCTACCAAAAACATCTACTTTATTTCTTTGGGGTAGGAGGAGGAGAAAGGGGGGAGGGGATATTGTAGAAATAAAAAGTGTCACATTTCCCCCAGTCAAGTGTGTGTGGATGCATATTTCCAGCCCAGGTGCTGAAAACATAACTGTGTTGTTCTTTGAAAATATCACTTTGCTTAAAAATGAAGCCAATCAGATACTTCTGGATTCACATGAGAGGCATCCTCCCTCACAAAAAATAGCTGATATATCCAGAAAAAAGGATGAAATGCCTTTGCTTTTATGTTGGCAGCATTTGATGTGTGCTGGTCTCTGGTGCCTTGTGGAAGGAGACGCATCTTGCAAAACCAAATTGGACCCTCCTCTGGATGGCACAGAATGCGGAGCAGACAAGGTAATCCCCCTAAGGGAGAATCCAGGCCTGGTCTTTTTATTTATTTGCTGTGTCTCTATGCTGCCTGATAGCAATTTTTTCTAGCCAGTCGACAGTATCAGTTTTCTAAGAGTTGCCCTTCCACTTGCTTTTCAAGACCATTTTCTACTCAGGTAATATTTGTGCATGTTTTCTTAGGAATCATTGTGTGGGGTGTGCATTAATTACATTATGGCAAATAGTTGGTGAACCTCAATACAGTAGACCAGAAACTTACGTGGGGGTTACATTCTGGGGGTCTTGCGCACAAAGGCAAAATTGTGCAGTCAGGAAGACACACACCCACACCCTGAAATTGAAACCCCATCCCTACCTGTTTAATGCTGTTGCACTGAGCAGATAAGATCTTGGAAGCCTCAGAAGACCTTCCAGAGTCCTCATGCTACTCTCCTAGAGGCTGGTAAGTGCAAGGCAGAGGGCATAGAAATTTCCACAGCAGGAAAGCCTAGCACAGAAATATCCTTTTAAGTCTTTTGCCTTGCTTTCCAGGCTCTGGGAAGGTTGTACAAGTGCTCTGGATGCTGTTGTGAAATCTCACAAAGCCCCTTCTGAGGGCTTTTTTCAGGTCTCCCATCATTCATTCATTCATTCATTTCATTCATTGGCAAAGTGTGCAAGGCTGTGATCATGTAAGTTAACTGCACATAAGTTTTGGGCCTACTGTACTCTTACTATTGGCAGTATCAGTATCTGATACTGGTGTCTTGTTATTGTATTGAAGAATCCTCTAAGCAGCTGACTACAGGCTTCCAGATAAGGTTTCCCCCCAAAAAATCTTCCTCAGTGTTCTCTTGCTTCTCCAATAAGCAGAGCAGGCTTGCGTCTTGGAACAGATAAATCAGACAGGCTGTCTGTCTCTTTGTTAGAGCCTGCCCCAGCCAGTCGACATAGTGCTCCAAATGATTTTCCTTGCTTGCATCATCCAAACTGAAATCCTACATCCCATAAACCCTTTTGTCTCTGCCCACTAACACACAGCTGGAGGAGGGGTACCATCCATCTTCCACTGGCATATTTCTCAGGATAATTGCTTTATTATTAGGCTGCCTATCAGTATGTTTTTTTACCAAGTTTCCTATTATGCTTTTATCACTGATGTTCTGTGATGTGTTATTAATGTTGTACACCGCCCCGGGATCTTTTGATAAAGGGCGGTATATAAATTGAATAAATAATAATACTATCACCTTAAAAGTGTTTCAAGGCCCTGACTGCAGTTTTTACAACTGGGAGGACTTCAGGAATATTTATCTCCAATTTTTATTTACCCAATTCCAAGAGGACATTGCCACCGCAAGGGTCCAGAACTATGGGCACACACTCCAACCATGAAGTTCATTGAGTGACCTTGTGCTGGTCACCATCTCTCAGGGTTGATAAAAAGATGAGAAGCATGTTTACCACCTTGAGTTGCCGGTGGTAATGCTGGTATACCTGTAATTTCTCTTATTTCAGCTTAACAAGTGCTTCCACTTGTGCTTAACTACATCCTTGTAGCCATTCCCTTATTTGTTTGATGGGTCTCAAAGCACCTGTGGCATTGAAGTCATTGGCCACACTATTCTAACCCCTGTTACATTCCAGTGGTGCCGAACTGGGGAGTGTGTCAGCAAAACTCCCATCCCCGAACATGTAGATGGAGACTGGAGCATGTGGAGCCAGTGGAGCATGTGCAGCAGGACATGTGGGACCGGTGCCAGATTCAGACAACGCAAATGTGACAATCCACCGTAAGTTGCCTCATTTCAATGAGACATTAAAGCCTGAAGGCATCTTATCTAAACTAGGACGCTGCTTTATGCTGAGTCAGACTGTTGGTCCATCTAGTTCAGTACAGCCTACCCTGACTAGCAGCAGTTCTCCAGGGTATCAGCTATCTTCTAGTAGTACCTGGAGATGCCTGGAATTGGACCTAAGGTCTTCTGCATGCAAAACAGATGCTTTGGCTGAACCAAACCAGGGTTGGACAGTGCCTTGACAGAAGACCTCCTGGTCCTGGGGACCCTATGTATGCCTCCTTGAGTTTCACATAAAAGCTGTGGTATACAAATGTATTAAATAAAGTAAGCTGTGGAAGAGGCCAAAAGATGCAGCTGTTACTTCAGGATGCTCCTTTGTAGCTTGGTCTGCTTTCCTTGCCATTTCCTCATTTCTTTTGTGCATAAGCTAACTCTGCAGCACACATCACTCAAAGCTGCAGCATTGCTCAAGGCCCAATTCTATGAAAAATCACAGAAATTACCATGCTGTGTGCCAGTCTCATCTATAGTTGCCTAGATGGTACACGCTATGTGGATATCTGGGGTCAACAAAATCTGCATGAGCAGACAAGAAATATAGTGTGTGCATCAACTTCAGTAAAACTAAATCTCCCCAGTGCCCCTTACTTTAATGCACCAGATTTTTGCGCTGATTTTTCACATTCTTTTGCTCATGTAAGTTCTTGGCTCGTAAATGGCACGTGATCCTGTTTCACTCTCTCTCTATAGATTCACTTTATATTCCTGTCTGCATTCTTTGTTCTTCTGCAGCTGGTTTATTTGCTGTCCAAAACTATTGATTGAGGATTTAAAAAATACTTCGTTTGGGGAATTCAGTAATGTTGGTGGTGGTGTTCTCTGCCAGGGATGGAGGAGAAAATTGATTTTGTTCAATCTTCCAAAACAATATGCAAATCAAAACCCAGCCATCCCACTTTCCTGAATTTCCCCCTAAAATTCTTACCTTTTTCTGAATTTTGCACTGCTGTTCTCCAGCCACGTAAAGAGTACAAAAATGCATATACTGGGTAAATGTGCACGCCTCAGGGAAAATAACATACAAAAAATGTGTTATATTAAGAAAAAGTGCTTTGCAAAAAAAAGTGCTTTGCAAAAATGTGTATATTAGGAGAAATTTACACTCAAATGTTGATGAATTTTGCGGAGGGTTCTTTTTTAAATTACTAAAGGGACAAGGGAGAGGGGTAAAAGGAACTGTGGCTCAGGCCCCACCCCTAATGACATATGTCTCCTCTGATCCCAGAATTAGCATGGATGTCTGTGGCAGGGAAACCTGTGCGTCTAGGCGTCCCTGACTCCTGGAGCCCTCCATTATCAGGGTTCCAGGAGCCAGCGAAAACGAACATAAGAAGAGCCCTGGTGGATCATGCCAAAGGCCCAACTAGTCCAGCATCCTGTTCTCACAGTGGCCAACCAGATGCCCATAGCAAGCCCACCAGAATGACCTGAGCGCAACAGCACTCCCCCCTCTTTTGTTTCCCAGCAAAGGGAATGTGCAGAAGCTGGGACAGGGCTGGGGGAAACCCTGAGTCATCTGCCAGGGACAGAGGTGAGACTTCACAGCCCTTTCCTCCCCACATTGCTCCATCACGTGAATAACGTCTGAGTGATTGGGTGGCAAAGGTGGGATAGGAATCCTGGGTTTGGTAGCTCACAGTTCAGCATCTTAGCTACCATGCTACTACTCTCTCAAGAGTTTTGTCTGTCTTCCTTCCTTCCTTCCTTCCTTCCTTCCTTCCTTCCTTCCTTCCTTTCTTCTTTCTTCCTTCCTTCCTTCCTTCCTTCCTTCCTTCCTTCCTTCCTTCCTTCCTTCCTTCCTTCCTTTCTTTCTTTCTTCCTTCCTTTCTTTCTTCCTTTCTTCTTCCTTTCTTCCTTTCTTCCTTCCTTTCTTCCTTCCTTCCTTCCTTCCTTTCTTCCTTCCTTCCTTCCTTTGCCATTGATGTATTTTCATTTCTAACAGGCATTTGACTCCTTTTCAAAAAAGAGCACAAGCACACATTAAGTTGGCTTGCAACAGGTCCAGCTATTCATCCATCTAGCTCAGTATTGCCTGTTCTGACTATCCATAGCTCTCTAGGGCCTCGGGCAGAGGAGGGTGTTTGTGCCACTTGCAAGCTGATCCTACCTGGTCTCCATGCTGGGCAGGGGAAAGCCCCTCCCCCCTGAAATCGCAGGGAGTTTCTGCCAATCAGAGTAAATTCTGGACTAGATGGAGCCATGGTCTGACTCAGTGCCATAAGGTGACTTTCTGTGTTCTTATTCTTTTAAATAGAGATGCCAGAAATGGAGCCTGGGGCTGGGACCTTCTGCGTTCATAGTAGATGCTCTATCACTGAGCTGTGGCCCTTCCAACAACTTCGTTGATTAAACACGTGTGTGTGTTGTGTGTGTGTGTGTGTGTGTGTTTGGTAGTGGCATGGTTCTTCACAAAAGACACTCTGCTCCTGGCATGGTGACGCAGATGAGTTCCAGCTGCAGATTGGAATCTTTTATGGAAATTCTGCCTGGCTAAGGAGGATTTAGGAATTGGATGTTTTAGGCCTTATTTAGATAACGAGGATTAGATCCCGGGAGCTTTAGCATGAGCTTCTCCCACATGTAGCATCTGAGACAGGAAAGCATTTGGGTTTGGATTTTATTCAGCGGATTCTATTAACAAGGTAACTTGTGTATACAGAGATCATGTTCCCCACCCATACTGTGCAACCATTTTGCATGCTAGAACTCAGCAGCTGTGTTAAATGTAAAGAGCTTTAGAAATCAATGAGGGTGGTAAGTGGATGTTATAAATGACAGTCCAGTGTGGTGAGTTTTGAGTTAAGGAGGGCCAGTAGCTGAGTGCTGGATCATATGTTCTGCATGCAGAAGGTCCCAGGGTCAATTTCTAGCATCTGGTTGAAGAATCTTTTGGCTGCAAAGGACCATTGCCTCAGATATTGGACAGATGCTACCCATTGAAGTAGATCCTGTGGTTCACAAGCTCCTCCACCTACAGACCGCTTGAAAAATTCTAAGGAACTTAATGGATTATATAATAAACGTTTTTGTTCTGTAAACCAAAGCACATGCATAACTCTTAATAACTGTAGTCTTTCTTTCAAATGCAATGGGTTTGCTTGTTTTCATGAGCAAAGTCATGCAAAGTCAACTTCACATAAAGTTGTTTATCAGCTTTACTCCTGGGACAGGTTCAGCATTTATCTCACTTCTGTATTTAGACTTGAAGGTGATAAGTAATGAAGATCCCAAGTCTTTCACCAGCAGCATACTATGAAAATCATGAGCACTGTTTGTTAGCTTGTTTGATAAGCCAGCCCTGCTCAAAACAGCCTGTTTCATCAGGAAAAAAGTAAATAAATAATGGCCAGGGCCAAGTACAGATATTCTCAATTGTTCTGCATCCTTACAATGGAACATCTGATTGAAGCTTGTGGTCCACAGGCCAATGGTTGAAAGCCACTGCAATAGAGAGTAGTGGGCTCGATGGGCTCTTGTTCTGACTCCCCATCAGGCAGCTTCCAGGGTTACAGTGCCATAGTCAGCAGAAAGGTACCTTTTAGAGAGGAATGAGGACTAGTGGTTTTGTTGGTTAACCTTCACCTCCCAGTTAACTGGCCAGAAAATTCTGCTGACACAAATGCTGCTTATTTCATGGCAGTGTTTAAAAAAATTTTATTTTAGTGGTTGGGATTAAGAGTGGTTGGAGTCCTGTTGGATTCCAAGAAGGGTGCAAATGGTCCAGTATTCTGTTTACAACTGAGGGTCTTGCAGATACTACTGGGAAGCCAGAAGCAGGGATTAAAGGTGATGCTCCCCAAAGCTGATTTTAAGAGGTGTACTTCTTCTGGGAATGCATGTTCCATTTCCCTATCATGATTAATATTTGGTAGACCTCTCCTGGGAAGTTGTCTTTCACAAGCCTTACTTTTTTTCCTCCTTTGAGAGCTCATCTAGTCTTAAAGGTAAAGGGACCCCTGACCGTTAGGTCCAGTCGTGGCTGACTGTTGGGTTGCGGTGCTCATCTCGCTTTATTGGCCGAGGGAGCCGGCATACAGCTTACAGATCATGTGGCCAGCATGACTAAGCCGCTTCTGGCAAACCAGAGCAGCGCACGGAAACACTGTTTACCTTCCCGCTGGAGTGGTACCTATTTATCTACTTGTACTTTTACGTGCTTTCGAACTGCTAGGTTGGCAGGAGCAGGGACAGAGCAACGGGAGCTCACCGTGTCACAGGAATTTGAACCGCCAACCTTCTGATCAACAAGTCCTAGGCTCTGTGGTTTAACCCACAGCGCCACCCGCATCTAGCCTTAGAGCAACTCAAATTGCTAAAATTCTGCTCAGACAGACACATGTGCTTCCAAGGTCTACAGTACATTCTCCCTTTGCTAGGTTAAAAACACACACAAGTGTGTTACTTCAAATATGACAAAACAGCCCTCCTGCATGTGGGGCCTCCTCTGGTTCATTCTGCTGAGTGGGATCCTCTAGTTCCATCTGTGAGTTCTACCCTGAAAACAGCATCACATTTATGATCCGTTAGCTGTCTCCTGCTAATGGCTACCCATGCTTTTCTCCACTAACAGCCCTGGACCCGGAGGCAAAAACTGCCGTGGCACGAGTGTCGAGCACACAGTTTGTGAAAACTTGCCCTGCCCCAAAGGGGTGCCCACATTCCGAGACCAGCAGTGCCAGACTCATGAGAGGTACACCAACAAGAAGAAAAGCCTTTGGACTGCTGTCATCATGGATGGTACATTTCTGTACGCTTGTACATTATTTTCCCCTGCCTCCCACCCTTCAGTACGGTTTTTTATTTTTATGGTTTTGTTTATGTATTATTTTAAACTTACTAATTTGGAGTAACTAAGTGATATACACGTATGCGTGGCAATTCATTTAGAATATATACTGTGCTGGCTTTTCAATGACCAAATAGGCCAGTACTATTGTTTTGGTGGTGATAGCTTAGAATACAACTTGCTTATTTATATTTATTTTATGGTTTATAAGATTTTTTGCCCACCTTTCATCATAAAGTTTCAGGGCAGGTTATAGCAATGTAATATCTAGTTACATAAACAGATACAACTGTTGTAATTATAAAAACAAATTAAACCTACTATTGTACTGCATTTTCTTCTATGGTGTTCCGTGTGATTGTTGGGGGCCAAGCATTCGGAATTGCATTGCCTGTGGGTTTGGTCTCCATGTTTATATAAATTAATACATGTAAATTTACATCTTTTACCATACAAAATAGTGGGTTGTATCCAAAGTAGCACTATTTGCTAGCATAAGGATTTCTGCTTGCGCGGTGGAACATCCTCCCACTCCCCCCCCCTCTGGTCCCCTAGATCTGAAGAGAAGGGAAGGAAGTCCCATTGCACAAGGATAAATTCTTGCACTGACAGTTCGCATTAATTGAGTACCATCTTATCTGTTGTATATCATATACTTGTCCCAATAATTTTCAAGTGCTTTGGGTACACGACATGACTAAAGTCAATATTCTTGTGTGGTGTTTTGTGTGTATGTGTGTATTTCTTTTTCAGATAAGCCCTGTGAACTTTATTGCTCCCTGTTTGGAAAGGATTCCCCTGTGTTGGTGTCTGACAGGGTAGTTGATGGTACACCATGCGGGCCTTACGAGACTGACCTCTGCGTTCATGGCAAGTGCCAGGTGGAGTAACTTTTTTGTTATTCTCTCTAAGCAATAATATTTGCCTTGTGCATGACTTAACTATGGAAGATGATAATAATGAGGATGATATGTTAAGCTTCAGCAAAGGCATGTCTGTTGGGAAAGGCTAGCGGGCAGCATAAAGCGTGTTCAGGGAATTGCTGGAACTGTGACTATGCTTAGCTGTGATTACATCCTCTTGCAGGACCACAGGGCCTCAGTTTTCAGGTCGAGAACTGTTTATTTGAAAATGCCCCCACATGAAAATTATGCCTCTAGGTCACATCTTCCTGCTGCAGTGAGAATTCTTGAAAGCTAGAAGAAATGTGAATTTGCACAGATGGCGCAGTCTTCTAAAATGCAGGTTATGAAGACGTTTTCATATTGAACCAAAGTTCACCTGACCATATATATGCAAAGCTAGGTTTCTATGCTAAGCATTGTTTATTTTATTTCATTTCATTTATCTCACAAGATTTATATACCACTTACAACCTCAACATGTTTTTCAAAAAGAATAAAACAATTAAATTATTGGTCAAAAAAACAAACAGTGAAAACCAACTATTTAGAACATTAAAAAGTGTGGGTGTTGCAACCCTAAAAGACTGTTTTGTTTTGTTTTTTACAAATGCATTGAAGTATTATGTTTTACCAGTAACAGTCCCAGTTCTATAGATTGAAGCAGCCAAGTGGGCATGTATGGGGTAAGGCAATCTTGCAAGTAAGCAGGTCCAAAGGTATTAAGGCAACGTTTCTCAACAAACTCCCATCATCCCTGACCACTGGTTCCTGCTAGCTAGGGATGACGGAAGTTGTAGTCCAACAACCGCTGGGAACCCAAATTTAAGAAGCACTATATTAAAGGCTTTATATACTAGTAGCAACACCTTGAATTTGGACCGCTAGCACATTGGCAACTAGTGCAGGTCTCTGACCAGAGGTGTTATATGCTGACAGGGTTTCACTTCTGTCAGCAATTGTACAATCTGCACAAACTATAGCTTCCAGATCAAGCACAAGTGAAATCCCCAAATGGAGTGCATTGCAGTAACCCAATATTGCATGATGATGTGCACTTGGTATATAAGACCTGAACAGCTGGAGGTGGTTAAGTGATGTTCTTCAAGGGTATTTGCTCAATAGCTCAAGCTTCTTCTGGGGGACGTCTAGTGCATCCTCTGGTTTCTTTGGATTCTTGTGGCTGCCAACTTGGCCAATTCCTAGGCACACCCCAACCTTCTCAAACACCATTTGCTAACATCTAATTTATTGACACAATTTGGGTTGTTGTTTTTAATCAGTGACCTGGATGTAGGCTACTTGGAGAACTATCTGACCTTGTTGTAAAAATGTACCCTAAGTAAACAAAACACAGTTACCTGCATTTCTTGCACACAGGCGCGCACACACACACACCTTCTTTTAATAGGCATGAGCATTTTCTTCTTGATTCAACTATTTCCACCACTGATCATTATTCTCTGCTTTCTACAATAATTCTCTCTTTGTAACATCCCAGCTGGTTGCTGAATTCAATAATAGCATCTTTAAATACTCTAAAGTTCTATGTGAGTGTTGGAAAATATCCAAAAACAAGAATGATTTGAGAATCGGGTTAGCAATGTTTATTAAGAGCACCTCTAGCTTCCCCTCACCCCAAGTTTTGGAATCTTGCCCCTTGTACAGTTTTCTTTTTTCTTTTCTTTTTTACTTGCAAAATGTAAGCCCTTTCCCAATGGAGTTTAAAAGTTTCTGAAAAGAAGGGATTTAACAACATCTAAATTTCTGTAACAGCCATCACAGATGTTTTGCAAAAGCAGTCACCCAATATCGTAAGGCAGTGCTCCCAAGACAACAGCTAAATGGCCCTGATGTACGTGGGAGCCAAAAGACACTTAGGATGCAGTCCAAATCCCTGACCAGCAGTGGCAGGGTTTAATGGAGTATAGTAGCCACTGCCGCATCTACAGCCCTTCCACCCGTGCCAGGTGGGGGAGGGGGCAGGAGTAGTTCCATTACACCTGCACTGGAGTCTAAGGTCGGAGGAGAAATTTGATGCAGTTTGCATTTAAAGGCAAAGCTGCCTAATTTATACTTTCCAAAACAAGCAGAACACAGTCATTTTTTGAAATTCTACAAAATATGTAATGCAGTTCTCCATGTGTACATAAATGCATATACAGTACTAGGGTAAATTGTGTGTGTAAATGCATATCATGGGAGGGACGCGGGTGGCGCTGTGGGTAAAGCCTCAGCACCTAGGACTTGCCGATCGCATGGTCGGCGGTTCGAATCCCCGCGGCGGGGTGAGCTCCCGTCGTTCGGTCCCAGCTCCTGCCCACCTAGCAGTTCGAAAGCACAATTAAGTGCAAATAGATAAATAGGTACCGCTTTCTAGCGGGAAGGTAAACGGCGTTCCATGTGCTGCTCTGGTGCCGGTTCGCCGGAGCAGCTTCGTCACGCTGGCCACGTGACCCGGAAGTGTCTGTGGACAGCGCTGGCTCCCGGCCTCTAGAGTGAGATGAGCGCACAACCCTAGAGTCTGTCAAGACTGGCCCGTACGGGCAGGGGTACCTTTACCTTTTTAAATGCATATCATAGTGAAAATAACATACAAGCATTCATATTATTTTATTATTGTTAGCCGTCCTGAGCCCGGCTTTGGCTGGGGAGGGCGGGATATAAATAAAAATTTATTATTATTATTATTATTAGAGGGGGAATTTTTTTCTTCTTACCGTGAATTTCAGTTTACAGATTGGGGGAATGACATTCCTGATAGGGATGACTCCCCCTTCTAGAGACAGGCAGGGTCTTCAGATTCTTGTGTCCTCTTCAGGGGGGAGGAGTCATCCGGTCTCTCCATACTGAGTGGCAGGCACTTAAGCAGAACCCACAGGTTCACAAGGGAGGAAAACACTCATATACACCGTAAGATATTAGGTGAAAGCACAAAACTAACTCTCCAGAACGCCTCCCCATACCCAGCTGCAACCAATCACAACCTCCACCTAGGGTTGACAAATGCTGAAGTGAATCAGGCCAAAGGAGGGCAGAATGTTGGCAAAATTCTCATTGATTTTTTAATAGGGAAATTGCAGTTTCCCTTTCTAACAGCAACTTTGGCCCTACCCAACAACACCTTTTCTAATGTCCATTTTCCCCTTCGCAGTCCTGTGTTTAATCAAAACAGACCCCTTTGCAAATATTTTCCATCAAAATAATGAAGAACCTCTTGTTATCATTAGAAAATCGGCTGTGATGGGATCATCGGATCAGCTGCCAAAGAAGATCGTTGTGGCATCTGCAATGGAGATGGCAAAACCTGCAAAGTGGTGAAAGGAGACTTCAACCATACTAAAGGGATGGGTGAGTAGATACTGGGCAGTCTCAGTAGCTTGGCATGGGAGAAATGAAATGCAAAAAAAGTCTGTGCCTGCAGAGGTTAAGGCATGTGCTGCATTCTGAGTGCAAAGTTAAGAAATTCAACTTGTTAATAGCAATGTGATACTCAGCTTGATACAGGTATTGACTGAAGTCACTCAATTTTGATTCAGACTTTGCGGTTTCAAGACACTCTGCCCCAAAGGTCTTTACATCCCAAGGCTATTGCCTTGCGCTGTCAGATTTCAGAAGGATAGCTTTGAATCTACTGGTCATTATTGTTCCCTGTGTGCTTCCATCTTGTTTCACAATGAACAGATGCATAGTCCAAAGCTCATGCAGATCAAGAGTGAAGACAAGTGGCAGACAAGGCATGCTGTGAACTACCATTTAGAATAAATGTGTGTGCCTGCCTTGCCACTGTACTATAAACATGTGGTGTTCTGATTTTCAGCCCTTGGGTGGCCATGTATCCTACTTTACAGACAACATTCCTCCATCTAAAGGAGTTCCAGAGGACAGTCCTTCACTTCAAGGTGCCTTCTGTCTGGTTCAAGGTAAAGAACTGTAAGAAAGCAGAGGCCTTGAAATTGCCCAGCAACAGTTAGCAGGCCAGGCATAAAAATCACTTGGTCAGTCTTTTCCACGATGGTGAGATGTATTGTATTTCTATGTCAATTATAATAACTAAAACAGCATGTACATGTTTTATGCAAATCTATGTGCTCTTTTTTGGCAATGCTCTACCCCCCACTTTCATTGACTCAATCATTTTAATTGGTTGGTGCACAAGGAACAATCTTGGCTAGGGGTTTCAAAGAATTCCCAGAAATTATTATGGGTTGTTGATTTATTATGTTAATATTTTGGTTTTATTATTGATGTTGTTAGGAACAGTGTATGTGAAACATATTTTTGAATACTGGATGATATTTTCTGTTTTATTAACTGCTTTGGATCCCCTTTGAGAGGGGGAATAAAGTAAGGGTACACTTCTTTAAAATAATAAAACAATTTATAAAAATGAGATCCATTCTCTTGTGCATTTCCCATTCATTGCAACAAAGCTTGTCTGGGGTTAACCGTTAAGAGTTGCAGTGTTTGGCATAATCCTAACTTGGCCGCATCTGCCATGACTACTAATATCTCCAAGGTGGGCCAAGGACAGACTGTGAAATAGCATATCAGAATTTTATTTATTTATTTAGGCTACTTATGAATCACCTTTCCTTCAAAAAGAGCTCAGGGCAATGCAATACAAGCAAAAATTTAAAATGCAATTGAATATCAGTTCAAGTAGAAGTTCTACAAGTAGAACTGGTTAAAATACTACATGAAGCTACATTGGAAATAACCAAGTGGTGGAGGAGGGCAGGGGTATGTGTGTATGTGAACCATTTCACCAGTTCAGGTACTACATTCTTGAAGGATGGCAGCATCATGCTTCCTTTTTTTCTTAAAAAAATTAATGCCATAATCCACAAGGACAATGATCAGTGGCAGTGATGGGGGGCCTTTGGCATCCCCTCTGGTGCTGTGTTTAAAGGTGGTGGCAGCTAGAACCGTTAATTTTTCTGCTCTTAATGACCACTTACCTTCTTGCCTGTGAGTAGCGGTTGCAGCCTGACACGGCGCCTCCTCTTTCACCCAGACACACAGCGCTATTTTAGAATGTTTCCCCGTCCACTCCGGCCGCCGTGGAGGCTCACAGGTTCTCGCCAAACCCCTCCTTCAGATGAGCCAATCCATGGGTGGCCCGGGGGGTGGGGTGGCCATCTACTTATCCCAACCACTCAGCACAGCGTCCAGTCAGCTGAGAGCGTCACCCACCCTTCCCTTCCCTTCATTAATAGTCGATTACTGCTCTAACCATTTCATTTCAGCTAGCCAGGCTTTGCTGTAGTCTTGTGATGGTTGCCGTTTTCGGAGCCAGGAAGGAATTTTCCTTGCTCTGCAGGTTTCGCCTTCCCCATAGCATTAGTCACAACTTTGGCGGTTTAGGCCTTGGGTGGAATCCTGTAGTTATTCATCTAATCGGGGTGTGGTGAAGTGGTGATTCACCCACCCCTATTCCCTGCGGTGGTGTTAACAGGGTACCCCGTTAGAGGGGTCTGGAGGGAAGTGTCTGTCCAAAGAGCCAACTGCGTAGGGCTAGTGGGCCATAGAGCTTCCCTCGGCGATTGGGGGCCATCCATGTAAACCTGCGTTTTGCAGTGGTAAAGGTAAAGGGACCCCTGACCATTAGGTCCAGTCGTGACTGACTCTGGGGTTGCGGTGCTCATCTCGCTTTATTGGCCGAGGGAGCCGGCGTACAGCTTCCGGGTCATGTGGCCAGCATGACTAAGCCGCTTCTGGCGAACCAGAGCAGCGCACGGAAATGCCGTTTACCTTCCCGCCGGAGCGGTACCTATTTATCTACTTGCACTTTGATGTGCTTTCAAACTGCTAGGTTGGCAGGAGCTGGGACCGAGCAACGGGAGCTCACCCCATCACGGGGATTCGAACCGCTGACCTTCTGATCGGCAAGTCCTAGGCTCTGTGGTTTAACCCACAGCGCCACCCGCGTCCCTTGCAGTGGATCCACCCCCAAATAGACCCTGTAATGCCTCAGTCCCCCCAGCAGGGGGGGAATCAATAAAGTTGTGGCCGTTTAAATCCCAGACAGTTGTTGTGTCCATTCATTTTACTCAGCAGTTAGGCGCACCGGAAGGGGGGACTGTGGCTGGGCACACATTGTTAATTGCTGCTCTTTTATTTTGTGTTATAATAGAATGTGTTGCCTTTTAAAATATATAAATGTAAACCGTTCTAAAAGTTATAATTGAACTTGGTCAGATATTTAAATTTTATAAGAAAATAATTCATTTTTTAAAATGCGACAGGTTATAAATTTTACTTATATTGCACAATTCTGCCGAATGCTGGTGACACCTCTGCTTAGAGTTACCCTTGCAGGCACTGTGTTAGATAAAGCAAAAAGCTGTTTGGAATGAAACTGTAATATCTGCACACTGGTCTCCACTGAATGACCTCATATTTTGTGACTGCTGACTCATGAAAACAGAGTGAGTGTTGTAACTAAACCCATGCCAATTCCTTTCTTTTTCTCAGTATCCAATAGTCAATGTAAGAAGGTTTCCACGTGTGTGATGGCAAAGGCAAAGGGAGTCCCCAAGTGTTTCTCGTGTAAGAAGCCTGGTTGCTCTGTGTGGTGCTTCTGGGGTAGATGCTGTTTGGTGTTGGGTCTCTCTCTCTCTCTCTATCTCCTCTGGTTGGATCAAAACATGGAAATGGTATTGTTCTAAAGGAAGGAAGGAAGGAAGGAAGGAAGGAAGGAAGGAAGGAAGGGAGCTGTTGATAAATGTGAAAGCCTTTTGCATATATATTCAGCACGACTTGCCGGGATTGCAACCAAAATGCACAAATCCCTTCTTTATGAGGATCTTTTGGCTGTCCTCTGTGAAAAATCACATCTTGGGAAATTCATTATCCTTGCTTTTTGCCTTGGTATTTCTGATGTAACTCGTAACGTTTAGAGTTGGCTGTGTTTCAGCTGTAAGGGCTTATAGAACAAATAGGGTAAATTGCTAGATGATGCAGTAGTGAAGTGGCATTGTCAGAGGTGCAGGTTTCTTTTGTGATAGTCACAGCCACACACTCTCACATCCATGCCCCTTCTAATATTATACAAGAATGTAATAATAATAATAATAATAATAATAATAATAATAATAATAATAATTTGTTATTTATACGCCGCCCATCTGGTTTCCCCAGCCACTCTGGGCGGCTTCCAACAAAATATTTAAATACAGTAGTCTGTCAAACATTAAAAGCTTCCCTAAACAATAAAAATAATGAGGGATGAATTGTAATAATCAATGCTGATCTCCTTGGGTTCCCCTTTATCTAGATCTACTATTTTCTGAGAACATACTGTGCTTTGTCTTCTGTGATGTTCCATTGTACATAACAGAACTTGCACACCTTATGTTTTCAGTGTTCCTAAATGCTTAGCTTTGGAACATACAGTAGGTAAAGAGCTCCCCTTTCATGCTGATTGGCTGGAGACAGGGAGACTGCTGCAGAAATAGCAGTGTATCTTTGATCCACCGCCTGCCTTGACCCCTGACAACTACACCACTGAGTTTATGCCTTTCACCTGAGCAGCCCAATGAGTTTATAGTTCTCACTAAAGTTTGAGTGCACCATCTCTTATTCTATGCATCTGCCACACAGGTGAGAAGCTTACACAAAGCCCAGCAGAGAGCAGCAATGGAGGGGGTGCACTTTGCTCAAGGACACATAACCAATCAAATATATCCCCATTTGGGGGTCTAAAAATGTGTGGGAGTGAGCTGGAATATTGAATGGAAAAGGGGGAAATAAGCATTATGGGAACCTGTTGCCTTGCAGATGTTGGACTGCTCGTTTTCAGGACCACATCAGCTTATACTCGCATACTCCTTATTTGTTTTAATTATTTAAAAGCTTTTCTAAATCCACTTAATGTTTTTTTAAATCTCTAAGCACTATATGCAATATAGAACACTGTTCATTAAAACAAAAATACAACATAAAACCAATAAAAAGTATAAAAGCAAATAAAACAAAGATTTGGGGGATTCATCTTAAAACAAGGCCCGATCTTATGGGTTGAGGAAAGCCAAGGCAAAAAGACAAGTCTTCACAAGATGTCTGACGCCTCTGATGGTTGCTGTATCACATTTGGCAGAGGGGAAGGGCATTCTGCAGTACAGGCAAAAGCAGAACATGCCTGTTTCCAGGTCACCAACTTTTGATATACTGTAATTTCCCCAGTTCTAAGTGATCTTACAGGCCTACAGAGGAGCAGGTAGTCTTTCAGGTAACCTAGTCCTGAATTGTTCAGAGCTTTATATATTAGCAAGACCTTGAACAAGGTGGCTGATTGAAAGCCAGAGCAGTTTCCACAGCACAAATGCAGCATGTGCCTGGCCAAATGCTCCATTCAGCAACCTTCTGAGGGTTATATTGCTTATCCCTGTTCCTACGCACACAGGGTAGGACTACAGGCAGTCCCACATGCGCAAAGCCACTGTGGGTGGGTCTGCTCTACTGGAAGTTTCTCTTTACGTTGCGCCAGGACTTTTACATCCTACATTGGTGCAGTAAAGCTTATTTAGAAATGGGTTTTTCTTTTGACCCACGCAACTTGTAATATGAGGTAGAAAGGAAAGTTATTTGCAAGTTTTGCAGCACTTACAGCCATTATATAATATCTGTTTCACTGAAGAGATCACTTTCCAGAAAGATCCATACCAGCTTCCTCACTGAAAATCACACCAACATCTGGTTTTGGCTGGCTGGGAAAACAGCTTTGCATAGTAATAGAAATACTTCAACAACCTTGCTTCCTCCCCCACCCCCTCTCCGGTACTTATTTCTAGCCTTCTCGGTGAAGATACAACAGGCTACCCTTCACATATTAATCTTCATGGTGACGAAAGTCTTGGTTCTCCCTTTATCCCTCCCTTCCTCTATCTCTGTTCAGGTGTCTCCTCTAATTTGACTTCTACCATATAATTTATATGCAGGATTCTCTTCAATCGCAGCTTTGCATTCCTGAAGCATTGATGTAATGCAGGCTATCCAGAAAGATCATTGCACGCCAAAAAGAGAGAGCGCTATTCCCGAGGTGGAGCATGCTTGTGTACAGTGCTATGAATTATCAAATAATGAGGTGCTCCTTCAAAGCATCGTCCTTAGAACAAAAGTGCTCTCACGTTAATGGATGGATGGACAGGGCTAGTAGACAATGGTACCATCCCACAACTGCATATAGTTGATACTGTCAAACCTGAATCATCAGAGCCTAGAAGAATAGGCTGGATACTGTTGAAAATATGGGATGTCATAATTCTGGCAATGGGACTTAAGTTGCTCAAAGTCAATGAGACTTGTTGACCTTTCTGGGGGAGAAACTGCAGGTACTAAGTGCTGAAGGAAATGTGGCTTGCATATAATGGAAAAGGTATTAAGGGATGCAGGGTTTTTTCAAATGTTGGCAAGCTTATTTCCATTAATTTATTAATCCCTTGCGAAGCAACATATGAATGAATTCCAAAGCTCAAGAGAGCAATAGTGGAAATGAGTTTGCATGTATCCGTAGTAGATTTATTGAATTTGCAGCCGGATTAGATTTCTGTAATCTGTTGTTGCTAAAATCTCCAACTTTTTAAATTTTTTTTGTCCAAAGGAACATGCCCAAGAGTTTTACCATGAGCCCTTCAAGAAATTAGATTCAGGAGAATTGTACCTCTATTGGTGGCCAGCTGTTTCACATATTGCACTTTAATAAACCCAACAGAGAGCACCAGCCTATCCCAATTCTCTAGCTGTTTGCACCTGCAGGTGTTGTCAATCATCCAATTGCTACATCCACATTTTATATGTTCAGCTGTATGCTAGATCTGAATTTGGGCAATAGCTTTAAAGAGCTAAAGTTTGAGAGCTCTGCATTGTTGTTATCATATTGTCCATGGGAGGCTGAAGCGTTGAAGCTTGCTCCAGGTCAGCAAATGAGTTTATGGCTGAAACTGGAGCAAACCACAGGTGTCGTGCTCTTTAGCCACTAAATCTATATGCCATAATTCTTGCATAGTCCATGGAAACACAGTTCTATGGGAGTTCAGCCAGCAATGGTCCAAGGCAATTGTGAAACGACACAACTGCACTGCGGTGTCTGGTGCCTTCTGGATAGTCTATATTGATTGCACTTGAGCTTCTCTAAGAAACGAGCCCTATGGACCAAAGAAGACACAATAGCAGCTAAATGCATTATTAGCAAGCACATCAATTGAAATTTATAAAAATGCACCTGTGGGGTTTTTTGTTTTGTTTTGTTTTGTTTGTTTTGTTTTGTTGAGGCCCCAGCTTGGAAGGAAGGAATTCTTACCCATTTCCTCCCTCTGTGGTCCCAATGAAATTACACCCCTCCCCAAATCTGCTATTGCCCTCCACCAAATGGGAGAATGGAGGTGTGTGCCTACTACCAGCTTTTCTTTCTTTGACCAGTGTGGATGTCAATGTGATGTTGAACATCATGTCTACTGTGTCCAGAAGCTCGTGGTTGTGCAGATATTTTGCCAGAGATGATAAAAATTAAATTGAAGGGTTGTTTTCCCACATGTTACATGTGGGCAAACAAACTTTGAAACAGAAGATCCAGTAAAGGCAAAGCAATCGTGATTTGTAGTAATAGTGCAACCAATACCAGAATTGGAATTACATTTAAATAAAATTAATTGGGTCATTTATCAAGCTTATGAATAAACGGCTTGGCTTTCCTGCCTAAATTACATTTTTAAAGTGGCCAAAATTAAAGAGGTTTTCTCTTGTAATGTGGGGAGTGGCCTGCATTTGAGAAATTCCTCTGCTGTGGTAGATTCCCTGCTTTCCTCTGAATGTTGAAATTGGTTGGATTTGTCCAGCAGGTTGAGTCATTTGATGCCACAATTTTAGAAGGATCTGGCTTGGAAGCCCTGGAGAGCCAGGGCCAGGCCAAACATAACTTGAATTAATTTTCTTTAAAAAACAAAACAATAAGAAAACTTTAAGAAAACACATTGTAGATTTTGGGCATGTTCCAAGGTGGTGAGAGGGTGTGATTGTCATGTGTGTCATGTTCTTGTAATAGTGTCATGTTATTAATCACTCATCTCCTATGTGTTCATGTCTGGTAGTCATTGTTGGTTGGGTGTGCTTGTCCGTGCATGAGTTTTGGCAAAAGATTTTTGCCATTAGAGAGTGTGGTGACTGCAGTATCATTTTAAGTCTTGAACTGGACAGCGCACACTAAAAAACCCACCAAAAACCAACACCATACTATATGTCAAATGTCTGTTTGGTTTGACCATTATGGGTTACATTATTGTGGTAAAAGCATATTTAAACAAAAACCCACCACTACATGCAAGTAGGGGATGGGGAAGAAATCCTATTCAGTTCACATTTTAATGTGAACTTGAATTTTAATGTGAACTTGCCTAATTTGCACTTTGCAGAACAAAATGCACACAGAAACTTCTATTCTCTGAATTTTTCTTTTCTCTGAATTTTGCAATGCAGTTCCCTAACTAATGTATATATTAGGACAAGATGCAGATAAAAATGCATATGTTAGTGGGGGAAACACGAAAGTGCATCACAGGAGGAAAAATTGATTTCAAAAATGTATATACTGCATTAGGCAAAATTGCATGTTAAAATGTGTATCAGGGAAAAGGTGTAATAAAATGCTGGTGAATTTTCTTGAGGGCTTAAAATTTGCAAACTGATAGTGGAAGTGTAGTGAACTGAACATAAAATTGGAAAAAATGGGAAATGGTAAGAAATGAAAAATGACCCGTTTGTCCACCCCTACATGGCAAGACAATTATTATTGCAGCATGCTTTGTGGTCACCGAACTGCTGCATCCATCCAGCTGGCCTTCACTGGTGTCTTTATACAGATCCCTGCTACCACTGTGTTTTCCGTTTTCCCTCGGGGGGGGGGGGTCAGGCTGCTTCTCTTGGTAACCTGACGAGGGGAGAAGAAAATGAAAAAGGTAATGTGCAGTCAAGGTGGGGAGATCCGGTGACATGGAAATGCAAATTGAGGTTAGGAGAGTGAGACAAGAACAAAAGGGGAAACTAAGAATGCACATTGAAATAGGTGCCCTTGGGTCATATCACTTTCCTACTTGTTGCCTCTAGCAGAGACCAGATGAACATGAGATCCCCACAGGTTTGGAGAAAGAAGGGTTTGCAATATATCATCTAGTGGGCTGACCCAACAATTACTTGATTGCTGCAGATGCTGCTGTTTAAGCCCATGATCAGTAACAAATGCTCTTGGACCTTTGCAAAAAGCATACCTGAGGGTTGTTGTTTTTCCAGAGGTCATTCATACAGGTTAAACTATTAAATCACCAGCTCTTCCTTTATGCCAGGCATGGAGCAAGAGTACAATATACACGAGCAGGAACTCAGCTCCCAAACCTGATCATATGAAGACCTTCAGCACAATTGCTATTTCTTTTAAACAGACTTTGCTTCCTTATTTTTTGTTTAATTAAAATTTTATCCCACCCATCCTCCAATGAGCTCAGGTGGCACACATGCTTCTTCTCCCCCCATTTTATCTTCACAACAAATTTGCAGTAGGTTAGGCTGAGAGGTGGGTAACCTGCCACCCTACTTATAGACAGAGATATATGAAGCAGTTTCCTGCAAACAAAAATAGCTAATGAATTATCTGGTCAAGGAGGTGTAGCTGAAATACCAGGGGGCTTCTTACTTGTGTCAACAAGGTTTGTTGATTTAGGATCATAAGCCTATATCTGCAGCTCCTGGAGCAACCTGACATGTCTCTGATAATGTCAACATGCACAAAGTACATCAACGAACTAGACTTTTATTCATTGTAATCTCAGATGTGGAAGCACATTTAAGATGCACCCAGAGATATTTTCTTCCTCCTCTTCAGGTCATATTGCATGACAATGAAACTTGAATGCCACATCATAACATTTCAAAATGTGAATTGGAATTGGCTTTTTAAAAATAAATTATGGAGTTCATATGTTAAATCACATGTACCCAGTGTCTATTTTCTTATTTATTTGTTTTCTGAGATACTATGATCAATGTGTCCTTTTCATTTGCCCCAGGTTACATTGAAGCAGCAGTGATCCCAGCTGGGGCTCGACGGATCCGTGTGATGGAGGATAAACCTGCCCACAGTTTTCTGGGTAAAAGAGAAAGAACGAACGAACTGGTGGCTTGATCTTACCCTTTTGTTTATGTTTGTACTTTGCTATCCTGAAATACAGCAAATTGTCTCCAGCCAAGAAATACTCAGAGTAGACCCATCAAAATTAATAGATCTAAGTTCATTGACCTCATTAATTATTGAGAGAGATTTGGTGAGATATTGGGAAATCATCCAATCCCTTTGTCTCCCTTTTGCAGGGATTCACAATGGCTGGTTGCCCCAAGCAGTTTTAAATCTGGGCAAGAATTGTATCGACTCCCATCCACCTTTTCACATGTGTCTGCTAGGGAAAAAAGCTTAGGCTAAAATGAACCACACTTTTTAAAGAAGTAAAAGACTTTACACACAAAACACCAGAAGTCACAGAAATGAGGCTTTAAACCTGTTTCCATCCAGTGAGCTGAAAGATTTAAAAAGGGGGTTCCGAAATCGTTTTCAAGAGAAAATAATTAGTTACAATCTCAGAAACAAAACATGCAATCCTCATGTTAATGAAAGAAAGCAGATTGTGTGAATCTTCCTGTTGGGAAGATTTACCACTTGGAGTATGGGGACCTGGAAGCCAGAGATGGTCCCTGCTCTTATATCTTCATTCTTCCAAAAGAAAGAAGTGTACTAACCTGGGAGAGAACAAAGACTACAAGTGCTTCCAAGTCCCTGGAGGAGAATGAGATCCTAACCAGGGGACTCATTGAAGCTGCTTCAACTTAACCCTTTCATGGGCCCAGTGTGAGGCAGAAACTATCCCATATTAATTTATATGGGTCTGCTCCAAATTCAACTAACTTGGGATACAACTCAAAGTAAGAGATGAAGTACTGTATTTTTTGCTCTATAAGACTCACTTTTCCCCTCCTAAAAAGTAAGGGGAAATGTGTGTGCGTCTTATGGAGCGAATGCAGGCTGTGCAGCTATCTCAGAAGCCAGAACAGCAAGAGGGATTGCTGCTTTCACTGCACAGCGATCCCTCTTGCTGTTTTGGCTTCTGGGATTCAGAATATTTATTTTCTTGTTTTCCTCCTCCAAAAACTAGGCACGTCTTATGGTCTGGTGTGTCTTATAGAGCGAAATATACGGTAATATTGACTTCTGTAACTAGCTGACATGTGCCATTGCTCTTTGATCCCCAAATGTTCCAAGGGCTCCTTTTAGGACTGATAAATGTGAGCTGATTTTAGGGGAAAGTGCCTCAAGGCAGAGATACAGTGATAGCTACAACTGTAATTGTCTAAACATTATCATTACCAGTACCACTGTTACTGAAAGCTGGGAACTATATCAGGATGCTGTAGTGTTTTCTGAGGTGCCAAGGTGTCCTGTCTTTGAAGCACTGTCAGAGAGTATTTCTGTGTTTGGGGGAATTCTCTGTTTAAAGGGTTATCCCTTCTAGTTTACAGATAAAAAGAAGCATAATAAAGGAGAGCAGGAGTTTCAGAGTTGACCCTGGACAGCAAACTGAGTAGGCACACAAGCTGCCTGGCCCTAGTCCTCGCTGCTATAGTCTTTGTATTTCAAATATAGTAGTTATTTTTAAATTTGCATCTGTACATAAGCATGTGTAAGTATGTGCCCACCTTTGTGGCAATGCATTTCTTACTTCCTTTCTTCAATGTATAAGTAGCCACCCTGACCTTTCCTCACTCCCTGCTCAGTGCTGTTCTTAACGATACAAGGCAGTCATGCCCTCCTGTTCAAGTGATTCTTTTTCAACTACCACTCAACATTCTGTGGCTATTGAGCCACATCTGATACTGAAGCAACTCAAGCCTTCCACTCCCCCATTCACTCCACAGAAAAGTTTTCTATTTTACTTCTCCAACAGACACTCTTGGACTCTGGGGTTTGGTTGGGGGGGATAAGGGGGGGGAGAGGTCTCCCTAAATATTTTGGTTCCTCCCTCCTTGTTTTGGCTTCATTTCTGTCTGCACTCACCACCTGAATTCACCATGATAGGGTGTGGTTATTGACATCCATGTACACAACAATTTTACAGAGTAAGACTAAGATGACATGTCCCTGCACCAAGAACCTTACAAATTTGACAGAGCAATGGCAAAGGGTGCATAACTGTGGAATGCAGTTCCATGTGACAGCAAACAAGCCGCATCCCTTATGGGTTTGAAACGGGCCTTAAGTAAAACTTTGCCTTCTTACCACTGCCTTTAGCAACTGATTAGATGTGAGCTACAGAACTTCCTGACTTCTGCTCTGCCTGATTTTGATATTTTTAATATGCTGGTTTAGAATTGGTCTCCTTCAATTTTAGTAATGCTTTGAAATATTGTATTAGGGTGTGTGTGGGAGAGAGAGGGTATGTTATTGCCTTAAACTGTGTTTTCTTGCATGCTTGATGCACGGCTGGCTTTTGGAAGATTTTTCTTGAAAAGGGGGCATTCAAATATATTACATAAATTTATGATAATAAACAGGGCAGGGGGTGTTCTTTCGGTTCAGTTGCACTGTCACCTACAATCCCTACAAGGGGATTGGTCTAGACTCTAGGAGCTTGTAATCCTCAAACAATGGTGAAGCTAAGCAAGTGTGGGGTTCATCAATACATAGGTGGAAGCACCACATCTGCCCCTCTGAGCTTTCTAAAGGAGCAAACTGTTCCTAATAAATAAATGGCTATGATACAGGCTGCACATCAAAATGCTTGTGTTAACTTGTGTGTGATCTCCTCTATGTCCCATGGCTGATCAAAGCCCTTTCTGTGCTGTCAGTTGGGGCAGTTGCAAATGTGAGTAAACCCTGAGGTGACAGAGATATGCTATGTTTTGGGGGAGATGGTGACAAAATTGAATACAAAAGAAAATTTCTATTCTGCAACCTTAGATTACGCAGGTCAACACATTTGCTGTTCTTTTTGTCTATGCAAGAAGCCTCAGATCAATAGAAATGGTCAACCATCTCTCTAGCTTTTGTGATTTCTCTAGTCTAGGCATTGCCTGCACCCGCCCAGCCCTATTTCACACCTATAAGAGCTAGAGACTTGTCATTTTTAAGATGGGAGCTGGGATGCTCAGGAAGCTGCATTCTACAACAAATACGACATTTTTTTCAGGTTTGTCTCCTCCAGGAGGCTGAGTAGCATCCAAGATTACAGTGTGCCATTCTTTGATCTCTTGCCTGCTACTGCTTTCATTTCTGCTTACCCGGCAGCCAGTTTTGTGGACTAAAATTACGCCTACACGGAAGTCTTTGACATAGCAAAGCTTTGGAGAACAATGACTGCCAGTGTTCTGGGGCATTGCAAGTCCTGCTTTTGGAAGCCAGCATTTTTATTTGTCTTGGTTGGATTAATTTGGATGCTTACTGCCAGTTGAGCTTTGTCAGATGTCACTTAGGGTGAAGACAGACATAATGTAGCTCAAATTGCATCTGCAGGGCAAGCTGGCCTAGGTGGCAGTCCTTTTTCTGTGGCTGGTCCTTTAAAAAAAAAGGCTGAGTGCTTCAATATTCATTTATCTCTACAATAATTTGTTGTCAGATAGATAGATAGATAGATAGATAGATAGATAGATAGTTCAATTATTTATTATTATTACAATCACAGAACAGCCACTAAATTGCAGCCAAATACATACATACATACATACCCCTCCCATCTGGCTGGGGAAACCCAGCCACTCTGTGTGGCTTCCAAAAAAAAGATTAAAAATACATTAAAGATTAAAAATACATTAAAACTTCCCTAAACAGGGGATTATTACAAATTAAACACATAGCAAAAAAACCAACTAAGATATGTGTGCATTGTCATATGTTCACCGTCATGCTTAGGATGGATTACTGAGCACTACCATAGTTAGTAAGGAGTTTTAACTATCTAGTTCCTAGTAGCATGGGTGGTGCTGTGGTCTAAACCACTGAGCCTCTTGGGCTTGCTGATCAGAAGGTCAGCAGTTTCAATCCCTGCAACGGGGTGATCTCCCATTGCTCGGTCCCAGTTCCTGTCAACCTAGCAGTTTGAAAGCACACCGAAAAGTGCAAGTAGATAAATAGGTACCGCTCCGGCGGGAAGGTAAACGGCGTTTCCGTGCACTGCTCTGGTTAGCGGCTTAGTCATGCTGGCCACATGACACCAGCTCCCTTGGCCAGTAAAGCGAGTTGAGCGCCACAACCCCAGAGTCGTTTGCGACTGGACCTTAACGGTCAGGGGTCCCTTTACCTTTACCTTTACCATAGTTAGTAAGGAATTTTAACCATCTAGCTCTTAGTAATGCATGCTGATACACAAAATTTTGCCACTTTTGTGGTAATTTCATTAGCAAAATCTGACAAGAGGAAGGAGGTGTAAAAATTATCTGTTGGAAATTAATTAAAATAGGTGTGATGTATAAGGAGTAAATGTCTTTATAATATGAAGTGTACAGTTGTTGTTGTTTTAAAAGTAAAGGTCAAAAGTGCTCCAAGAATGGGATGGCAAAAATTTGGGGGGGGGGAGGGTTGGCATCATGATGGGCCAGCTAATCCTGTTTATGCTTCTGATGTGCAGATCTTTTTTTCTTTTTTTTCCTTTTAGGGCTCTAGTTTTGTCTTTTTTTCAGACTGAATACAGCAAAGGTGCTTTCAGAACAACCCCACTGCCCTGAAATTATTCCATCTGACTTTAACCTGAGTTTGAAAAATCATACAGTGGTTTTGCTTGCTGTTGCTATAATCATATTCAATGGGTCTGTGTATTAGATGTGTCTGCCAAAATCTCTCTCTCTCTCTCTCTTTCTCTTTCTCTTTCTCTCTCTCTCTCTCTCTCTCTCTCTCTCTCTCTGTGTGTGTGTGTGTGTGTGTGTGTGTTGAAGGGATGTCTCTTTGTCCTATGTTGATGATGATGATGATGATGATAATAATAATAATAATAATAATAATAATAATAATAATAATAATAATTTATTATTTATACCCCGCCCATCTGGCTGAGTTTCCCCAGCCACTCTGGGCGGCTCCCAATCAGTGTTAAAAACAGTACAGCGTTAC